CACCACCCCAAACTCCCCTGTCCTCTATCCAACCCCCCCGCTCCCTGCCCCCTTACCGCTCTACCTGGAGCACTGGTGGCTGGCGGCGCTACAGCCCCGCCGCCCCGCTGGAGCCGGGCCACGTCGCCGCCGCCACTCCCGCCACTGAGTCAGGCCGGCTCTGCAGCTGCGCTGCCCCAGGAGCTCACAGCCCCGCCACCCAGAGCATTGCGGCGGAGCGAGCGAGCTAAGGCTGCGGAGGAGAGGGAACAGCAGGGGAGGGGCCGGGGCTAGCGTCCTGGGCCAGGAGCTCAGGGGCCGGGCAGGACAGTCCCGCGGGCTGGATATGGCCCACGGGCCGTAATTTGCCCACCCCTGAACTAGTGTTCCCAGGTGCAAATTGCATCTGCTTACTATTGCTCTACTATTCAATCAGCATTAAACACAGCGGCTTCATGGCCAACCCAGCAGGGACCCTGCCAGGGTGCTGGCTGCGGGCCTGAGCCGTGAGCATCAGAGGAAGGAACCAGCAACTTACTTTACAGAGATGGAGAATTCCCCCGGGGCGCTCTCGCTCTCGCGGATCAGGAAAGCTCCCAAGTGCTTGCGTTTCAAGAGCAATTCTTCGGCCAGATGTCTGGAAATCCTGCCCGCGTACCACCTGGAGGGGGGCACACAAAGAACTGGAGCTGAGCAGGAGATGGCAGGTCTGTGACCCCCCCACAAACCAGCAACAAAATGGGCCAGACCCAGATGGGGAAGGAAGGTGTGAGATGATGCTGGGCATTAGGTTACATTGAAGAGGGGGCCTCTGGCTGGACTGTGCAGAAAGATTTTAATGCCAGGTCGTTAGCCTTCCTGCATAGCCCAGGCCAGAGATCCGTCCCCATTGACTCCCATATGGAGCCCAATAATTGGGGAACAGAGGCCGGCGACATGGTCATGCAGCAGCTCGGTGGCAGAGCTCGGATTAGCATCCAGGTCTCCTGAGTTGCCGTTCAGTGCCCTACCCACTAGACCAGGCTGCCCCTCGGAGTCCTAGAGCTCAGGCACCTGCCGGAGCCTTGGCCACAAGCTGGTGTGGAGGCATTGCTCTAAAACGCAGCCCTCTGGAGACTCGAAGGGTCGAATGGGACATGGACGCTGAACAACCTTCTTTCACCCCAGAGAGGGTCTCTGACTCTGTTCAACTGTCCCTGAAACGCAGCCACCTCTGGGGTGGAACACAGCCCTGTGTGGGACGGGCAGTGCAGACGCGCGTCTCTGGTTGAAATGGTGGGGAAGATGTTAGAGCGGGGCGTGGGTAAAATGATCCCAATTTGTGCCCTTTTGTGTAAGCCTCGCAAATCTATAATTACAGCCCTTCCACCTCCGCTGCACCGTGACAATGGCCTTCCGACGCACGGGTGCTGGTTTGTAGCATCCTTGCCGCGGTGTCAGCAGCTTCCCCGTTGCTATTTGTGCAGCACACAGCCCCGCTCGCCCCATTGTTTATGTCTTCAGCTTGTGGTTACCGGGACTCGAGCCTGGCCAGTGCTGGTGCCTGGCATTGCAGGGCTAGCTGACCTGCAGGGCCGTGACGCTGGCTTGTCTGGCGGGGAGGGGGCACAGGAAGAGGGTGGACAATCAGACAGAGACGGCTTGGCTGTGTCATCCGGCTACCCCTGGCAGGAGCACGGGGTGTGTCTTAGGTTGGATTCCACCTGGAGGGAGGAGACTGTGCGGAGGACAGCGACCGACCGAGCGCAGGACGACCGCAAAGGATGTTGCAAAGGATGTTGTGGAGTCAAACATCTTGCTCGGCACAGAGAGCAGTGGGGAAAATGGGTTGCCTCGTGGGCCACTCGGCAGAAAAGACTCAGAGGATCTGTCCACGCTGCACCCTACACTCGGGTTCTGACTCTGGTGTGAGCCCAAGCCCCCCTTCCATCCACATGCAAATCAGTCTGATTTGGGTCCAACTGTGATTTGGGGCCAAGCCCTGTCATTGTGCAGTGTGGACGCAGCTCAAGCACGGCGGTGAGACCCGGGACCAGCAATTGTAAATCCAGGTTTCCAGTGCAGGGTGGACACTCAAGCCCGGGCTTGGAAATAGTGAGCCGCACAAGCCTGGGTCCCCTGGTGGAAGGGCAGCGACTCCCCCCCCCATTCTCCAACCAGGGTCCTGTTTCTCCTGCTGCTCCCCCGCTTAGATCCTGCTCCCTGGTGTGTCAGGGAGGAGACGGGGTGTCTGGGAATCGATCAAATAAGAAGGAGAGAAGGGGGAGCTTGTAGCAGAGGAGGGGGGAGCCCCTTTGAGCCTCTGCCCCTAGCAGAGGGGTGCGAGGGCTGTGCATGCTGAGGGGACGGATCTGTTGTCCCTGAGGCTCTAAAGAGCCGGGCTAAGCCATCCTGAAGGGACGGGCTGAGCTGGGGAGAGCGCAGGGGAAGCTGGGATGGGATCAGTGGGGAGGGAAGCAGCGGGTAAGCCCGGGAGGGGACCCTATGGAGCAGTGAGCAGGGACGAGAAGGCGTCCCTAGCTGGGAGAGGAGGTGGGGCAGTGTATGGGGAAGGGGCACCACCCCGTGCTATTAGCTTTAAACCCAACCGTGGCTTGAGCCCTCACTGTGGAGACCCGACAGCACCTGGGATGATGGGAACCCCGGCGATTTTGACAGGCAAATGTGCTGCTCACCAGTTAGTTTCACTTCTCTTTCTGGTCTGTTTCACTCCCCGGCTCTGGGGCTAAAACGGTCCCTGAGGTTGGGGCTGCAGACGCTGCGGAGGGGGTTAAATCTAGACAAAAGCCTTTGTCCCACGGAATGAAAATAACTCCCCGTCTAAGGGGACGTGGCTGTCGGGCCTCGGGTTTGCAAATCCTGTGTTTGCTCAGTTTTTTAACCAGTCCTAGAACGGGGTGTCCCTGCGACTCAAGCAATAGGGAGAGAATCAGGATGGAGAGAGCAAGAACCCACATAAACCCACCCCTCCCAGGGCAGGCCAGCCTCCGGCTGGCGGCACTGGTGACCCACTGCCATTGGCTGGCCGGGCCCTTTTGATTTTATCATGCCGTGCCGCAGCACCCAACCATTGACCATGTCCGGCCTGGACCTCATCACTGAAACCCACACGCGAAATCCCTACGCCCATCATGGGATGTGGGGGAGGGGTGTAATGGAGGAGGACACGGGGACTTCGCAGAGGAGGGGAAGGCCTGGCTGCCTGCAGCTGTGCTGCCTGGCAAGTCATCTTGCCATCTCAGCTGGTTACCACCCTGCCCGCTGCCCGGCCAGAGACCGGGAAACTCAGCCACAGAGAGAGGCAGGGCCAGGGGCTGATTGCTTCCTGCATGAAACACCCCCATTGGCCTCAGCACCGCCTGGGGCCAGGGCCGGCTCCAGGCACCAGCCCACCAAGCTTGTGCTTGGGGCGGCACCTGGAGGGGGGCGGCGTGGCGCTCCAGCCACCGGGGAGAGTGGGGCCACGGCCGGGCTCGCCGCCCTCCCCCCGGCACTCCGGCCGCCGCGGGGAGAGCGGAGCCCCCGCCGGGGCTCGCCACCCTCCTCCCAGGTCTCTGGCCGCCCTCCCCCCCGGCGCCCGGACCCCGGCCGCCTGGGGGAGAGCGGGGCGCCCGCCGGGGCTCGCCGCCCTCCCCCCAGGGCTCCGGCTGCCGGAGGGAGAGTGGAGCACCCGCCGTGGCT